ATTGGTGGTGCAGAAAACGCATGCAAGAACACACATTTTCCAGCACAGCAAAGAAATGCAATGCCCTTTGCAGATGTGCATGGTTAGGTGCAACACACTTTTAAAATAATATGCCTGCAGTATTTTTGCATGTCCCCACACATTAGGCAGGCCATTGAAATTAACGATCAGAAGGAAAAAAAAAAAAAAAGAGTAAAAAATGCCCCATTCACACAGGTCCTCTGGCCTGTACAGCATGAATGAGTGGGTTGTTCATGTGACTGGAGCCACCTGTTACACTATGGGGACACAACAGCTGTATGAACACAAGTTTTAATCTGACAGGTGTGGGGAAGTGGCCCTGAATGCTCACTGTCTGTGTTCAGGGCTGTACACCTGCACCCATATGCTTGTCAAATTATGACCTGCAGCAATTCCCATAGTGTAACATAGGTTGCCTGCAAACAGCGATAGCCACAAAACAAACCACTGATCCCCACTCTACAGGCCACAGCACCCATGAGCCCCAAAACCTCAATTACACACACAGCTTTATTTATGAACTCAGTACAGTTTTATCATTTAGATTTCACAGGAATATGGTTGGGATTATGTCCATTAATAATGTTTTTAGTGTATTTTTACCATAAATATAATTTGGATATTTTCTCTGGCGGTGGGGGGCTGTCAGGTATGCTGTACGGGGCCCCATGATATCTAACAGTGGCCCTGGGTGTATGCTTGTGTCTGTGCCACCTGTATAGTTAGGAAGAACCTTGAACCTCTGCTATGTACCTCAATGGATCTAGGAATTGGACATGTTTTCAACTGAAAATACAACAATTATTAGTAATGTTTCCCCAGCAAATGAGGATCAGCACCTCGGGTGAACAGTGATCTCGCCATGTCCAGATGTGGTCTGGAATTCCACAAAAGAACAATTCACAAAACTAAAATATAGACTTGCAAATTACCACTAAACTCTCCTAACTACACTCCCATCCACTCACACTCCCCACTTCCACTTTCGGGTGTGTGCAAACATCCTTCCGCCAACATCATGATGTATTTCTGGTATGACAGCTGCTCTAGCGCCTCCTCCAACAGCCGTCTTGGCGTTTATTTGTGCACCATAGCAATTTTACATGCGGCTCCATTGTGTATATGACATTCGCAAATATATGTTTGCAGTTCTATTGTAGATTTGGCATTGGTGAATGTATGCTTGCAGCTATACTGTGTATGTGTGATTGGCGAATATATATTTGCCAGTAAAGGCCCAAAGTCAACATAAATTGGGGGCCCAATTTATTACTGTTAAGAGGATTGTAGTAAAAAGAATAGCTAGCTGCACATTGAACACGACCTATTCATTGGTACAGAACATTGTCTTGTGGTGCAATAGGGAGCTTTTGGTTTGTTATTTTGGACATACTTGCACATGTGCGCTCTAACAAGGAAGATTTGGGCATATTATATAGCTAGCAAAAATTAGTGTTAGGGGCTAGTACATTTCAGATACTTATATAGCGCTGTCAATTTACGCGGCGCTTTACATATAGATAAACACAATCATTGTACAATAACACACAAACACACCTTAGAAGGAAGAACATGCAAAACATTTACAGCCCACATCAAAACACAGTGTGAGTGTGGCCTGGGGCAATTCACCACAATATCTCTTCCTCCCAAAACCACCACAGACAAGGACATGCAGAAATAATGTGCCTGTACAAGGCAAAAATCAGCCACAACTGCATCTCTTTATATAAGGTAGGCCACACCCACCACTGTCATTCATTTGGTCAGAGAAAGTGTTTGCACCTAATTAATTCTCTTCCCACCTGCGTTAACCCTTGGTATACAGGCCCCACAAATCAGAGTCAGAAAGAAAGCCACAGTGACGTGTACCTGTGCAGCATACAACAGAACATTGAACAGGGATGTGAAAGGGAACCCTATTGGCAATATTTCTTGGCCCTATGGGCACAATTCACTCCAGATTATCGCATGAGTTAAGGCAGTTACATGACCACATCTCGCATGCAATACTGAAAATGTCAATTCACTTTTGCTAGTATGTGGCATTTCCCATAAATCGGAAAAACACTCAGGAAATCAAACATAAAAAGGCCTTACACCGCGGTCACATCAAAGCCGATTTAGAAATTGTGCGACGTACAGTGAAGATGCTGATTTCCTTACGATTTGCAAGACATCTGACACAGATATCTATGCAAATCGTCACAAAAGTAGTAAAAAAAAGTACTACTTTAGAAATCAAGTGTCGGAAACGCACCCATGTGACTGCTCTAATAGCAGACAATAGGGTGCGACTTGGCATACGATTTGTAAGTCGCATGCCATGCAAATCGCATGCCAAGTCGCATCCAGGGTGCACGATTTCAGGTGCGATTTGGGAATTGAAATTTTACCTAATATCCGATCTAATGAATGTGGATGTGAGTGTCTGAACGTAAGCGTTTTGCTGCAGCACAATTTCAAAAGTAGTTCTCGTCTAACTTTTTCAGCATTTTGTAGTGATTTCACATATAGACTACAATAGAGATCGCAATGCAAAACACAATTGAAAACGCAATAACTCATTGGTAAATCTACAGAAAACACGGTGAAATTGCCAACAAAAAGCACAATTTTAAATCACATCTAGTGTGAACCAAGCAGGCAATTCAACAAAGGAAATAAATCTTTGAAGGCATGCGGTATCTGCATGCTCAATAAGGGTCTGTTAATGGATTGGGGGGGGGGGACTCCATGCCATTTATTTTTTTTTTTTTAATCCATTTCTTTCGCTCACTCTTCTCATGGTTTGACAAACTTTCCCAAAAGGAGGTGGAGTGAAACCAGCATTATCCAATCAATCATTAGTCCAGGCCCTTATCTCATCCCATCTTTTGACATTCACATAAGGTGCTACTTTAAAGGTGTTTGAACAGACAAGGCCTCATTCTAATTCACATTTTAGGGATCATTTAAACAGAAAGCAAAGATGCTGCCACCAGCACATATATGTTAGGGTAGTCACACGGAGATTATTATTATTATACAGTATTTATAAAGCGCCAATAGTTCGCTCAGTGCTGTGCATTACAAAGGGGGACAGAACATGTGACAGAACCATACCAATGCAAAACGTGAGGGGATTGAGGGCCCTGCTCTTTCGAGCTTACAATCTAGGAGGGAGGGAGATCATGCAAATTCATTGCTGTGGTTGGGGTCCAAAAAACCAACAACCCTAGCGTTGCGAGACAGTAGTGCTAACCACTAATCCACGGAGCTGTTGAACACTAATCCTGCCTGTATTTCTGTGATGTGAATCAATCCTAAATCCCTGGGCAAGGTCAGTGCAACTAGTCAGATATCTCAAATGTGACACAAATGTTGTGCTATGTTGCAAATTCAGATGTATGTTGGTTCTATGTATCCCAATACAAAGGATTGCAATACTAATACAGGCGTGGGATAATTGGTCAGCCATTTTTTGGGATTTCGGCATATTTTGTTTATCAGTAAAGTTGGAAATTTTTTTTTTCCAAATTTACTGATAAAAAAAATGTGCCAAAATCCCGAAAAACGGCCGACCAATTAACCCACTAAACGGCCCAAAAATCATTTGATTTTTTTTTTTTTTTTGGCAGAAAAATCGTCCGATTTTAGACCCATCTTTGGCCTGCTTTAGATGGATCTAAAATCGGTCAAAAAAAAAAATCGGCTGATTTTCGGGCCGTTAGTGGGTTAATTAATCAGCCATTTTTTGGATTTTGCCACTTTTTTTAATCGGTAAATTTGGATAAAAATCGGCCGATTTTGCAGAACGGCCGATTTTAGCGGCAATGATCGGCAAATTGGCTGATCTTTTTACAGATAAAAAATCTGCGCATGAGCCATGACCTGCAAGAAAAAGAAGAAGAAACTGAAAAAGAAGAAAAAGAAAAATGCAGGCCATAGATGGGGCGAAAACTGGCCGTTTTTTTAAAAAAAAAAAAAAACGAAAAATCGTTTTTTCAATGGGCCGACGTTACCACCAACGTTAAAAAAAATTGTACGATTTTTGCCCCGTCTACGGCCAGCAAATATAATAGCGAAGTAATTACTTCTGTCCCTGCAGAGAGCTGCGCTATTATATTTAACATTAAAAAGTATAAACGTTGCAACATTGTATCTATATGTATCCGAATAAAAACATCTATATCCGAAATGGATACAAATAGATACAATGTTGCAGTCTCTATACTTTTTAATGTCAAATATAATAGCGGAGCTCTCTGCAGGGACAGAAGGAATGTTTCAGCTGTCATCGGGGTTTCTCACTGACAGCTGAATTTTAAATTATTTCCGTGAATTAAATAAACAATAAAAAAAAACAGCGTGGGGTCCCCCCTGCCATCCATACCAAGGGGTAACTCCGCGCCGAAAATTAAAAAAACAAAACAGCGTGGAGTACCCCCCAATATCCATATAGGACCCTTATCCGAGCAGGCAGCCCGGCAGGTCAGGAAAGGGGGGGGGGACGAGCGAGCACCCCCCCCCCCCTCCTGAACCATACCAGGCCACATGCCCTCAACATGGGGGGTGCTTTGGGGCAGGGGGGGCTCCCCCCCCAAAGCACCTTGTCCCCATGTTGATGGGGACAAGGGCCTCTTCCCCACAACTCTGGCCGGTGGTTGTGGGGGTCTGCGGGCAGGGGGCTTATCAGAATCTGGAAGCCCCCTTTAACAAGGGGGCCCCCAGATCCCGGGCCCCCCCCCCCCCCCCGTGAATGAGTCTGCGGTACATGGTCCCGCTACTCATTCACCAAAAAACAAAGTGTGGTGTAAAAAAAACACAGTACAGGGTCTTTGACAAGTCCTTTATTAAAACAATGTCCCCCGAAGTAGATCCAACGTCAATCACGGCGGTAGCGAACCGAAAAAAGAAAAAGTTCCGGTCCCGTCGGCGGCTTCCAGCCTTCTGAAAAAAAGTCTAGCTGACAGTTCTTAAATAGGTTAGGGGCGGGGCCCCCCGTCCGCAGACCGCCACAACCACCGGCCAGGGTTGTGGCCCTTGTCCCCATCAACATGGGGACAAGGTGCTTTGGGGGGGAGCCCCCCTGCCCCAGCACCCCCCCATGTGAGGGCATGTGGCCTGGTATGGTTCAGGAGGAGGGGCGCTCGTCGTCCCCCCCCCTTTCCTGACCTGCCGAGCTGCATGCTCGGATAAGGGTATGGATATTGAGGGGGTCCCCACGACTGGTTTTTTTTTTTTTTTTTTTTTATTTCGGCGTTGAGTTCCCCCTTAATATCCATACCAGACCTGAAGGGCTTGATATGGATGAGAGGGAGGACCCACGCTGTTTTTTGTTTTTTTTATTGCGGACCTTTATTTTTACATTCAGCTGTCAAAATAAATATTATCTAGACCCTTCGAAATAAGTAAAATCATTACAGAAAAATAATTATAAAGGATAAGAAACAAAAATAGAATCACTAGAACTAAGGAAATCAAATTAGAATACATAAAGATATGCTTAGTGCTGTTTGTTTAATACAGTAGACTCGATCGAGTTCCGGCTGTCAGAGGAATCCACACTGAGATTTACTATTGAGCAGTAGCTAAAAAGCAAGCGCCCACAGAGGACGTCTAGAATGTGTTCTGCACATGCGCATTTATATCGGCCAAAGACACTGCACGGGCGTCTAGTTTTTTACTGTGTTGATTTGCTTTAAAAAAAACTGTTTTTAACACATTCTTAATTTTTTTTGAAATGGCAGATATTGTTTAAAGTGAAGTCCTGATATTTGGCAAAGCAAATTTCAAAGTGAACATGTCTCTGCAGCGATTTTTCATGGTGTAAGACATACCTCTTACCAAGTGTGCTTTGTGAGTCTGATTCCTGGTATGTGTCTCGTTAGTAAATTTGATTGCGCTTCTACTTATGGATGCTGCTCAATAGTAAATCTCATTGCGGGGTAAAAGTAGACGGTCGCTCGTAAAAATTAGACGTTCGCCCACGGATATGCCTCCAGGCTCAATAGTAAATCAGGGCCCAGAAGTCTGTCTCTGGTTTTCTAGGATTCTAGTTATCTGAGCATGCCTGTACCATGTTTTCTGGTCAATGTTTTAGCACCTTCGGATGTGTGTTTTGGCACCAGCATGCAGGTGGTTGTCTTGTTGTTCTTGTTCCCCTTTCAAGGGGTCCTCGGGTGTGGTTACATGTTTCTTTCCCTGGTTGCCCACCCCTCATTGAGGCACTGCTTTGGCACAGCCCTATGGTCAAGAATATGAAGAGCTGTGTCCGTTAATGAATGATGGAGCAAACAGGATTTTTATTGTTACTCACTGGAAAAGCCCTTAAACCATAAAAATGCATTGACCTATATACAGCACCCACCCCTCTGTTGTTGTTTGTTTTTTTTTGGTTTTTTTTTATTTTGTACTACTTTTGTGATGAACTAAGCTGCCTATAGCACAGAAGGGATTTACTACCAGCTAGGACTGCCCATAGGCAATGCTGTGTTTTGTTTTTTCTGCCTATTGTCCTACTCCTGTGGCGATATAACCCTGTGGTCAAGAATATGAAGAGCTATGTCCGTCAATGAACTCAGAGAAAGGGATTTTATGATAACAATTTCATTAAATTTTTTTGATTTTTTTATATAGCAAAATATAAAAAAACACAGCGGTGAATAAATACCACACAAAAAGCTCTATCTGTCCCCAAAAAATTATGAAAATTTTATTTGGGTACAGTGTTGCATGCCTGAGGTGCCCACATGGAATGAGTAAACACTTCAAGGTAAGAAACATGGTGAGTTGTAGTGAAGTTGTGTTTTTTTTTTGCCATAATTATTTGAAAGATGAAGAATTTGATTTAATTTCACAAATTTGTAATTTTATTCATTTATTATTTCTCACACACAGCATGGGCATACCTTAAATACACCCCAAAATACATTCTTCTCTTCCACTCTGATTATGGGGATACCACATGTGTGGGACTTTTTTTGGCTCGTAAATACATAAAGGGACCCAAAAATCCTAGGAGCGCCTTCAGGTTTTCAAGGGGCATAAATAATCTAATTTCCTGATGATCTATCATACTATTTGAGGCTCTGAAGTGCCGTGACAGGAGAAAACCCCTCAAAATGACCACATTTTGCAAAGGTTAACATCCAATGTATTTAAATAGAGGCATAGTAAGTTAAAATACTTTTTGCCACAAATTTTTGGAAAATGAAAATGTACTTTTTTTTTTTTCCCCCCCCACAATTAAGATATTTATTACACACTGCATGGGCATACTTAAAATCACACCCCAAAACACTCTGTGCTACTCCCCCCAAGCGTAGGGTACCACGTATATGGGACATTTTTGCTGGGACCAGCCAAGATTTGAACCACGTATGGGCAGGTTGGTTGTGCTGAAGTTGCTTCATCAATTGACAACAAAATGACCATTTTTTGGAACACAGATAACCCATCCCAAGTCATTTTTTTTAATATGCATAGTAGGTGTTTTGAATATTTCATTTTTCTGACCTAAGTTTTTGGAAAATGTGTAATGAAAAAACACTTTGTTACTCTTTTTGAGTATGGAGAATCCACATACTGTCTGAGACTTTTTTTTTTTTTTTTTGCAGCCTAGCCACATAAAAGTGTACGGCTTTCAAGAGGCATACGGTACAATATCTTATTTCCTGACTAGCTATTACATTTTTGGTGGCCCGGGAGCACCAGGACAGTCAAAACGTCCACAGATTGATCACATTATGGAGAGTTAAACAGCTGAGGGTATTAAGAGGTATAGTGTGTATTTTGATGATTGGAAAGTGGAAAATACTGAAAGAAATTAATAATTTTTTTTTTTATACAAAGTTGTCCATTTATTACAATCTCTCTCACATACAGCATGGGTGTACTTAGAATTGCCCCCCAAAATGCATTCTTTTGCTACTCCCAAGTAAGGCAGTACCACATGAGAGTTTTTTTTTTCAATGTTTTGGACTGATTGTGTACTGGACATTTGTATCTTGTGTATCACAAAAATCAACATTGTAACAAGAACAGTGTACTGTAATTCTTTCCACTCTGAGTTGTCAGATAATATAGCTTAGTGTAGTGTCATCTATAGCAGTTTTTGTTTGGACTTTTTTTTAAAAGGAACATAGACTGTCAGCAATTCCTGCTGATCAACACTGATGTGCGATATTCGCAGCGGTTTTTGTTCGAATTCCGCACCGCATCATAATCGCACCCCAGTCATGCGATCTGCTGCGGGTGTGTATGTTAAGTTATCAACACCCTGAAATTGGTCCTTAAAACACGGTGCAATGTGCAAAATCGGATCGCATGGGTGTGAATACCCATGCGATCCAATTCTAGTGTGGACCAAAAAAAAGGGTCTTGCACCTTCTTGGTGCGGATGGGGTGCAATTTCAGCCATACAAAATGTATGGCTCAAATTGCACCGCACACAATTCGCATGTGATTTTCACAGGAATGTGGTGCGGCTCCTGTGCGAATTACATGCGATATGCCGCACCACACATATGTGTGAACCCAGGCTTAAGGTTAAATGCTCACCTTCAAAATTGACCCTCACTACAAAGGTCATTTACACAAGTTGTTTTGCACCAGGATCCAGAGGACACTTGAAGATAGTTGTCTTTCAATAATATACAGCCTGCATGAATCACCAGCACAGCCCACAGTGAAGGTTTGATTACAAGAATGTTGTAGTATTTATCTATATACAGTATACTAAATTAATTGATTAGCGTCTGACTAAATTTTTGCAGTACTTTCACACATCCTTCTTAGATGGCCCTCCCTCTCCTTAAAGTGTAGTGTTTATGGTGTTTTACTTAAGTCTTTGGCTGTTTGGTCGTTTTTTTTTTTTTTTTTTTTTAACAAGCTTCCTTTCCTGAAATCAGGAGTTAGCTATTACTAGATTTAGGCCTTTGCCATAGTAAACATTTCTTGTTGACTACATTAGCTGTTACTCATTTTCCTGGGTTTTTTTTTTTTTATAGTGGATGAGTAGTTCTCCAAATTGATAAGCGAAACCCATCATTTTTTCAGTTTCCCCTTGCATGCATTTCGTATCTGTCTCTGGAACATTAGGTTGCTCCTTGGTGTCTTTTGTTTATAGCGCAAAAAATAAAAACCGCAGAGGTGATCAAATACCACCGAAAGAAAGCTCTATTTGTGGGGGAAAAAAAGGACATAAATTTCATTCATGTACAGCGTTGCATGACCGCGCAATTGTCAAAGCATTGCAGCGCCTTATTGCAAAAAATAGCCTAGTATAAAGAAGAATATATGTGAACATTTGACTATATGCTTCCTTTCAATTGTTTGAATATATATTATATATATAATTTTTTTTTTTTTTTTCGTTTATAACAGGGCAACTGGGAATTTATTATTTATTTATTTTATCGAGTTTATATAGCGCCAAAGGGTTTGCTCAGCGCTGTACAATAGAGGGGGGGACAGTACATGAAACAGTACAGTAACAACAAACAGCACACTAGGGGTAAGAGGGCCCTACTCTTTGGAGCTTACAATCTAGGAGGGAGGAGGTAGAGGTACAGGAGGAAATGGCTGTAGGGGATGGAGTGGTAGGAGGAGGGAAGGGCAGCGGCTGTTAGGTGAGGGTGGGGTAGGCTTCCCTGAAGAGGTGGGTTTTCAGGGAGCGCCTGAAGGTGAGGAGGGAAGGTGACAGTCTGATGGATTGGGGTACTGAGTTCCAGAGGATGGGGGAGGACCTGGAGAAGTCTTGCAGTCGTGCGTGGGAGGAGGAGACCAGGGAGCAAGATAGGAGGTCCTGTGAAGAGCGAAGGGTACGGGTAGGGTGGTACCTGGGAATCAGGTCAGTGAGGTAGTTAGGGGCAGTGTTGTGAATGGCCTTATAGGTCAGAGTGAGCAGTTTGAATTTAATGCGTTGGGCAATCGGGAGCCAGTGGAGGGAGAGGCAGAGGGGGGTGGCAGAGGTGGAGCGGCTGGTGAGGTGGATGAGTCTGGCCGCTGAGTTCAGGATGGTCTGAAGCGGGGAGAGTTTGCACTGGGGTAGGCCGGTGAGGAGGGAGTTGCAGTAGTCAAGGCGTTAGATAATCAGGGAGTGTACGAGTAGTTTAGTGGTGTCTGGGGTAAGGAAGGAGCGTATCTTGGCGATGTTCCGGAGGTGGAGCCTGCATGTGTTTGTAAGTGATTTGACATGAGGTTGAAAGGAAAGGTTTGAGTCCAGAATGACGCCAAGGACCTTGGCTTGCTGGGCGGGATTTGATGGTGTTGTTGGTAGTGATGGAAAGGATGGGGGGGGGGGGCGCGGGAAGGGGGA